GGCGACGAAGGCTGCAAGCAAGAAACGATCCGCAGGCATGCGCGCAGACTCGGGGATGCCCCCGCGGTTGCAGACCTGGTGGAAACGAAGGAGCCCCGAGCCGTACAACTCGCGTGTCTCCGCGACCTGCGCCTGAAGCAGTCCCTCGAACATGCGGCGTTGCAATCGCAGGCTGATCCCTGCCGCCTCCAACGCCTTGTGTGATTCCAAAGAAAAAGGCGACGTCCACAGTAGAACTCGCCGATCCGCCGGGACGTGGGGGCGGAACGGTGAGGGCGCGAGCTCCCTCCCCTTTGCAGCGCGGCGAGCACGTTTGGCAGGTAGCGAGGCCGCGGCGGCGATACAGACATCGTAGAGCGTGGTCTGTGGGTCTGCGGCTCGTGAGGAGGACGAAACCCGGTTGGTCTCAGCGTTGGTGGAATCGGTGAGCGTGCGGCGTGGGGGCGAAGCGGAGCGGGCGTGCGTGAACGGAGGGGAGGAACTGCGCAGGGCGGGGCGGAGGATCGACTCGGCCAGCGCCGCCAGCGGGTCAACGAAGCTCATCAAAGAAGAATTATTCATGGGCTCAAGGAAGTGGGGGCGCGGGCGCGATGGCTGCGGGGACGATGATAAAGGCGAGTTAAACACGGCGGAATTTCCCCAAAAATTCGAGCGGTGGACCCACGGCAGGGCAGGGAACGAAGAAACGGAGGCGGGCGAATGCAAACGGGCGAGACCAAGATGAGGTACCAGCAAAACTGGGTGCCGCATCAGTAAAACGGCGTGGCGAGCCCGTGGGGACGTACAAGTCTCCCAAAAAATTGTACGACGAGCCCACGGCGGGGCAAGCATCAAACAGAACGGGCACGGGCGAGGACGAAACGAGCGGACGCGAAAGGGCACGAGCGAGCGCGGACGACGGTGGAAGCGGCGAGAAACCGTCGAGCCGCGTAAGTGCGCCGTATCAGACAAGAACATCGGCGAGTTCGGCGGGGAGCTCGAACTTGCACACAAGACGAGTGGCGGGGCGCAGATGGGAGGGGAGGCCGCGAGATGGCTTGTCCGCGATGTTGTCGGCGGAGGCAACGTACTCGATCTTAGGGGTGATCGACAAACCCGCCGTGATAGCAAACGTCCGGCGTGCACAAAGATTGATGTCCACGTTGGGGGAACGTCCCTTCTTGTGCGCGCGATAGCCCCCTTGTTGTCGGACCGGATAAGCAGATGAATATCTCGAAAATTCAGCTGCTCCAAGAACATGAATAGCAGCTCGATCGCGAGCGACTCAAGCCAACAAATATCCACGCCGGGGCGCTTCCAGTCCGGCGCGAGTTGCCAGGCATACCACTTCTCGCCGATAACTACCGCAATACCCCAGGACGTGCACGCATCGACGTAGATGCCGAAGTCGCGCAGAATCCCGAGCGGACGAAGTTGGCGGTAGAACGACGCGTCGGAAAGCTTCGCGTCCCACCACTGCAGGGCCTTCATCGCCGTGTGCGAGATCTTGCGCCTGGAAAATCTGTTGCCCTTGAATCCCGCCATTGCGTTCGAGAAAACCGCGAGGCGCGAGGCGCCCTCCGTGATGACAAAGACCAAGTGGCAAAGCGAGCCATGGAGCTCCTCCAAGTCGACGAGCGAGAAACCTTGCGAAGACTTGATGCACTGCATCGCTTTGCGGACGCGCGCTAAGAACTTACGGCGCTTGGCGTCCGGAAGCGAGACGCGACGGAGGACGAAGTCCCAGGTGAAGCCCAAGTAAACCACGATTGCCAGAAAACGAATACCCGTCTTGATGGGGTGCCACGGCGCATTCACGCAGTCGATGGGTGCCACGATGGAAGCGCGGTCGAAGCGGTAAGAGTACTCGCCCTCGGAGAACGGGCCGATCTCATTCGGCATGCGGATAACGCACGAGTCGTCCTCGTAGAGGAGACCGTCACCATCGTCGCTCATCTCCGAGCGCCAGATATCCATAATTGCACGGAAAATCTGTCCCGAGTTGCTGCTAGCGGACGCGGCGCCGAAAGGGAAGCAATGGTCGAGATAAAAAAGTCCGTCAAAATGGACGACCAGGAAGGGTTTATGGGCGGGAAGGACGGGACAAGTCCGATGGAAGGACTTGATGTCGAACGCGCAGCCTTGCGAACCCGCAGGTAGTGTCGCAACCTGGGGAGCGGAACGATAAGTCGCTGCTAAATATCTAGCACGATATTATGGGCGACGAAAAAAAGCGCACGATGCACAGGCGAACAGGTGCACCGTGTGCAAAACGAGTCTAGCGCATGGTGCACGGAAACGGCTAACGCACGATGCGTAGCAGGGGACGACCAACGCACGATGCGCTGTAAGGGACCGCATACACACGACGCGCAGCACGAAACGCAAGTGCACAACGCGCAGCACAAAACGCAAGCGCACAACGCGCCCCATGAAACCGAACGCAAGATGCGCAAAAGACGCCACCGCAGCCGAAGCTTTGGCATAAAAAGGGAAAAGCCGCGCGGCCCCCAAACGAAAGTGGAGGAGGGGAAGAAGGAAACTAATAAAAAGGATGCTCACCAGTTCGGCCATCTTGGAAGGCATATCAAAAGCAGTCGGGAAATCCTCTTTCAGAATACACTCGTTCACGGCAGGTGTGCCCGAGCGCGCGTCGCCCTTGGAAAGGTTCCGACAAACCCGCTTCTTCAGCGCCTCGTCTGGACCCATATCTTGTGTGACCACGATAAGCGGCGAAGCGAAGAAAGGACCTCGACAGATCCTCTCCATCTCCGCGCGCGAAAACGGGCCCTCCATCCGACCGGCCTCGAGCTCGGAGTCCAAGTACTCCACGGTCGCGTCGCGCTCCTCGGCCACGGAAGGATGATTCAGCAGGACAATAGTTGATGAGAGCAGGGGAATGCGGCCCAGCGCGAAGCCGTTGCGTAAATTGTGCGTCAAAAAGGGATAGGCTGTGGTTAGACTGTGTTTTGCGAGCAGTAGTTCGAGCGCGTCAGCGTTGTACGGCTGAACGACGCGGTCCAATAAACCGGACAATACGTCGGGCGGGCCCATCGGCGCCGGGTGCAGGTGGATGAACGGAGAGAGATCTGAGAAAGCAAGTGTAGTGTGTGCGGGGGATAGTATATGTGTAGAGTGTGCATGCGAAACGAACGCCGGATCAGGGCAAGAAAGCCCCGTTCCGCACCCGCTTGCACTGCTTGTTATAGGAGAAAGTGTCGTGGTCCTCCCCGCAGAGCGAGCAACAGTGGAGTCGTTCAGGGTGGTTCCCGCCGCATCTGCCCTTGATATTGTACAATATGCAGATGGACTTGGGGCTGTCCCCCCGAAACGGTTTGAGCATACGAAGGTCGCGCCCTTCGGACCTCGCGAAATGGGGTTCACCGTTCCGAAAGGAAGTATTGTTGGCGGGGTGATCAGCCGCAGCGTGCGGGCCCGTGCAAATCAGACAGGTGTTGCGCGGAGGGGAAGGAGGACCGCCAGGAGCCTTTCCACCATCACCGCGCCCGTCCCCTTCGCGACGCTGGCGCTTGGACGCTTGCTCCGAAGCCTCCGAAAAACTGCGCTTCGAACCACCTGCCGCGCCACCAGACGAAGAAGGCGCCGGCGCCGGCGTCGCAGTGATAGCCGCGGCAGCTGCGACGTGCTCGTGGACGCTCAGCACTGACCACATCTCATCGGCCCACGTAGCGGCGCTGAAGTAGCCGTTGCCCAAAATCGCGCGGCGCAATTTAAGCTCGACCGGGAACCACACATCCATCTTTGTATCGAAACACTCCAGATTCGAGAACCAAGTGCAATGGAGGGCGTACTCGACGCGAAATTACGAGTATCAGGGTCGTTGGGGTCAACAGGAGGGCAAAGGTCCTTGAAGCATGTGAGGAGGTTCGCGCACGCCTGACGCCACAAGCTCGGCGTCAAAGCCTTCAACTCGTCCTCGCCGTCAAAATGCTTCGCGGATTTCGTGATATCCACGACATGCACCTTCTCGCCAGCAGCGTACGACGCGGCCTGCTCAACACGAGACCATGCCTTCTCAATAATGTGGGGATTGTCGTTCGCCTTGCGAAGAAGACAATCTGTCCACCAGTGCAACGGAAGCCAAACTTTATGACGAACGGAGACGAGAAAAAGGGTCGGTATAACCACCTTCTGCCTGAGCAGGGGGTTAACCTCGTGCGCGTGAGTGAACTTCATCGAGCCGAGCAGCGCCGGCGTAGCTTTAGCCGTCTCCTTCGCGACGCGCTCCTTCTCGCGCAGCAACGCGGTAGCCGTCTTGTGCTGCGCGATCACTTTGAGCAAGGAAAGAGGGAGTGGCCCCACCGCGGCCAAAAGCTCCGGCGCATGAATCAGCTGCGCGACCTCATCCTCGGTGTACGCCCACATCACTTTCAACGGCGCACCGACGTCCAAAGAACCCACACCCGCAGTAGACGCGCGAGCAGTAGCATACGCACGGGTCTGGGCAATACTGGTCTTGTTTGCTGCTTCGATAGCAACATTCTCTGCGTTCTTGTCTTCGATTTCCATGTCGACTGGAGCAATACGGTCAGCCGGGCGTTTTGCATGCGCGACGCAGTCGAAGGAAGCCGGAAGGGGAGCCATGAGGCCGCAACACGAGAGAGTGGTCATGGGATGAGTTGGGGAACGAAGAGAAAAATATTTGCACGTGTGAGGGTGCGAGGAAAGCAGATTCAGAGTTTCTTGCAGGAGCTTGTTATAGCGGAGGCGAAGAAGTGATAGGTGGCAGTGTGATCCGATCACACTGCCACATGGAACGGACGCGGAAGGAAATCCATATATTCACTTTGCTACTGACTTGTCTTACATACAGGCCGGCTCGTGAGCTCGCCTTGCCTGTGCTAACAAACAATCAGATTCCAACCACAGAGCTCCCGCATCAATCCCTGCGGCTCCCATCGGTATCATGCGCCGAAAGAAATGCATTATACAGATCGCATCGATCCCAGGAAAAGGCAGACAGAAAAGAAGGCGAAAATAAAAACATCGAAACAAATCGACCCAGCCTTGAGTCGAACAAGGATCTTCTGCAGAGTCATGCTTCAAATATACTTAGCAGACGCGGTAGCCATTCCACCACTGGCCCATGCATCCCTCCACTACCGAAGATATAGGCACGGGTGCAGAGAGATGCGAAACACGAGGAACAAAACATGGTTACAGCTAGGAATGGCCTGCCTAAGTTGAACATGTACAAGGAATTCCCGCAGAATGAAATTCAAGCGTAGCAGAGTTGGGCATGATGCCGAGAGTCTCACGCAAGCAGGTGAGATGGTTGATTTTGACACGGGTTGAAAAATCAGATTTCAACCACAGAGCTCTCCGGCTCCCATTACGGAAGGAATGCCTGCAATTTCAGGGCATCCCGCGTATCGTATCGATTCGAGCAAAAGGTCGCAAGAAAAGATCAACAGAAAAGAAGAAGACGAAAATAAAAACATCGAAAACAAAACGACCCAGCCTTGAGTTGAACAAGGATCTTCTACAGGATTTTTGTGGACTCTCTTAGATATATCAGGTGTGGTAACCGTTCCACCACTGAACCCTTGCATCCAACTCCACTACTGAAGATCAAGACGCAGGCACGGGTGCAGAGGAATGCAGGACACGAGAAAGAAAACATGTGTACAAGACTAGAATGCCCGCCGGAGTTGAACACGGGATTTCCGCGGAACGAGCTAGATTAATACTGCAACTGTGGCAGACGTGGGTATCATACCACCTCGCCAGCAGGCCGCTGATATGCGTGCTGGAACTTGGGATCGCCGGCATTGAAGATTTGGACACTGATTTTGACACTGTGTTGAAAAATTGGCAGATTTCAACCACAGTTCGACTAGTCGAGTTCCCGCATCGATCCTCCGGCCCCCGGGTATCATACGTCGCAAGAAATATGTATAACCACATTATAAATATTGTATCGATCCCAGCATAAGGCCGACAGATAAGAAGAACTTGACGCCGAAAAGAAAGTTAAAGAAGAGAAGAACGGCCCATCTTTGAGTCGAACAAGGATCTTCTGCAGATTTCTGGGAAAACCATGGGTAAATATAGCAGGTGTGGTAACCATTCCACCACTGGGCCCTTATATAGACAGCAAGTATGCTGAACCTATTAGTCAAGATCATAGCAGGAGAGTTGGAGCGAAACGAGGTGGCCGGCAATTGCCGAGCTCACGTGCGCAAATCAACCGCCGAAGTGTATAATCGTAGCTCTATAACGGAGACGAGAAGTACTCAATTCATCATTGATATTTCTCAAGCAAATATTGAGAAACATAGTGCAGAGGAAAACAACCTCATTAAACAATAACCCAGCCTCGAGTTGAACATTGCAATTGGTTGAATAAATCGCGCAAAATACATCCCTGGATTTGATACCTTAAGCAGTTAACAGTTCAATGGGTCGTGCATCAGATATTGAAGCCATCACAGCAGGATCTTGGCGAGAACGCGAAAGGTCACCTGTTCAATTCTGAACTGCACGCACGATGGTTCAATAACAAGGACATATCCATCAGGAGATCCAAATCGACGAACAATGCAACACATAGAATTTATACCAAAACCACTACCAGGAACCATGAGAGAAATCGATGGGTAATTCAACAAGACTGTATCAGTTCATCACACCCAGCTGCCAGACACCCGCAACCTTGTTTGCCTCTGTCGGATTCCCAGGCGCTCCCGCACCATTGAGCGTCGACGGTGCACCCGCCGCCGTGTTTTCCGCCGTGTAGAGGTACTGCCCGCTCGCCGCAATGAAACCACTCGTAGTGAGACACAGTGCACAGTTCGGCCCCCCCTGGAACCCGATCCCGTTCGTCCAGATGTACTTGCTGACAACCAGCTTGGGCGAGAAGATCTGAAGAAGTATATATGGATCTGGTCCCCCGGTGTTAATGAAGTCCAAATTACGTAGAGCACGGCTCACACTGGCATCCGCGAAAACGCCATCGACGCTGGTGGCGGCGATGGGTGTGCCGGGGAGGACTTCGTCGGCCGGAACAATGAGCGTGTCCGACTCGAATGTGGGCTTGAGGAAGGGCCTGCTGAGATGCTGCCGTCCAGCTTCTGGTGGTAGATCCATGTGTCGCCGTTCGGGGTCTGGATGATGGACGAGCGCCCACACGCCTCCCCTACTATGTCATTTCCTAAAAGGGAAATTTGTGCGGGTTTTTGGCAGGATAGGGCAGCCTCTAGTACTGCTCAGGATAACCTGCTGGCATGGTTCCTTGCCCTAGAGGTTAAAGTCTTGCTACACCCACAGAAACACCCGTGAATACACGGATTGTTGTGTGTGTACAGCTTGCAGCTGGCGGCGTTCGTGTTGTGGTGTTGTGGCGAGCACATCACCCGCGCGCTGCACTCATACTGATGTTGTGCCCGGCGCGCAGCCGCTTCCCAAGGACGCACATCGGTCTGCAAAGATGTCGTGAATTGCAGCTGATTATCGCGACAGGTGGAGCTGAATATATTGTTGTGTTATTAAGAAGTACTTGTGCTTTAGGGCCATTGCATGCGCATGGCAGAACGAGTCTGGGGCAGGTTTTCATTTCACGTATTCCGGGCTCATTTAACTGTGAGGCTCGGCTCGCCGTTCGCTCAGTCGATGCTGGTGCATCGACCAGCTCACAGTTCGCCTCACGGGGCCATTTAAGGGAGGGGACATACAAAACCTGTGAACGTTCCAAATATGGACAAATTCCGTTAATCAATTAATTGAAGGATAGCGAAAGCACTTGAGCTAAATCCCTTCCATGAATCTTTAGAAATACATGCTAGCTAAAACCTGGCATCCTTTGATTTGTAATCAGACAAGTGTGGAAAATGTAGTTGTCGATTTAAGTTGCCATCAATTGGATGGCCTCAAAATTGATGGGACTTTGCGAGGACATCTCCTCACTCAATTCTGATCTTGGAATCTATCTGTTTGACTGGGGCATACCTAAGATGTATTTCTAAAGATTCGTGGAAGGGATTTGCCTCAAGATCTTTCGTTGTGCTTCAATTAATTGATTAACGGAATTTGTCCATATTTGGAACGTTCACAGGTTTTGTATGTCCCCTACCTTACCATGTGGTCAAAATGCCTGGTGTAAATTGTTCAGTCTGTCTAGGAGAGACTACTCTGGAGAGTATGTAACAGCCTGTTCACGATGGCAAGTGAAAGTGTTGCAGACTCAGAGGGCTATAAGCCATCATGATACGGGCGAAACAATGGAGTCCCTCAATGCATTCTGGTATGGGAATATAAGCACAATAATAGACATAGAACAAAGAATGAACAGGAGTGAACACAGGGCACACGGAAGGAGAAAGAACACTCACTGCCGCCTTGCACAGGTCTGGCCGGACTCTGAGACTCTGATCCAAGGGGTCCGAAGATAAGGAATTTCGTTATATAGGATGGGAGGAGAGGGGCTTTGTTGCCATTTCGTGTTACGTTCTTCACAGGGGTTGGGGACGCATATAACAACTATGTAATGTACCCAGAAGATGTCCGATGTATTTTCCCTGTTTCAGAACCCTAAAAGTAGGGCATGCGTGACTTGAAACACTGCCAGGAACATACAAAGATTCATAAAACCAAGCTGGTTCCTCAGGATATTCATGGGAAACTCTTTAAGGCATATACCAGGAGCTTATATTACTTCTGTCAAACTTACAATCATCTAACTAAAGAGCAGGGTTGCAGTTGTTCCAGAATGTGCCCATTAATTAAGGGACTAAACATATGCTAACTCCCGTAACCATTTCAGGCGGCCCTTAGGCTTCAATAGCTGCTGTACCGGCTGTTTCGGAAGTGGACCAGGTTTCCGGGTTGTGGCAGTGTTGATTGACATTTGACTCGGCAACGCTCGGCAACGCGGGCCGCCTGAGTCGTGGGAATAATTTCTGCATTCAGTGGTGGGGACCTCGACCTCCGAGATAAAAAAAAACGATGTCTGGTGCATATTTTGGGTTTTCAAAAGGGCTGCCACCCATACCCGCGGCAGCAACAGATTCTACAGTGAAACACGGTCACGGCCCGTGTGGTGCAGTTCCAAATCCTGTACAGGACGGAACGGTCCACGGTATGGCTGTGACTGGCACACAGGTATATCATGGGACGAACCGGTCAAATCGATATGCTACATGGTTCATTGCGTAGCAAAAAAACCGTGCAACAAGTTGTGAGTCCCAGGAACTTGATTGGACCTTTTACGATACTGCATATTCACCGACATGTGTGCGTTTGGAAAGGATAATGACCAACCTATGCATAATATCATTTCAAGAATTATAGCCGTTTGCGGAACACAGGGCGCGGCCCAAAATTTCGCCGTTTGGAGCTGTGTTTTGACGAGATCGCCGATTGCGGGGTCAGTTCTTAGTTTACTGGTTCGAAAACTATAATAGGCATGATCGCACTGCGGTTACGGAGAACTCCATCTTTTCAGATCATTTATAGCACTTTTGTAGGGCATGCAACACAATACTTATTATCCTGTTTTAACTCAGATCTCCTGCTGCATTGATTTATAAAGTCTGAATAGGTTGCTGAGTTATCTGAGTAGAGTATACACTGATATGAAGGTCTCGGGATACTTTGAATGTCACTATCTTACCTGCAGCATGCACACGACTTGATTGAAGCTGTGTAATCTGGATGTTTTCATCCCCAGCCCAGAATTGCTGCAGCCGACTGCTCTCGGACTGAGGGCTTAATTACAGCTACCTGCTCACAGCCCGGGATATACTTGAGGGCTTGGCATTTTCAGATTCGCCTGCATGTGCCCTGTTTGAATGTTTCGGCACGCGACGCGTACCGACAAACCACTTACGCGGTCACGTGCCTAATCATGTCTGATTGATCGCATTTTGAGGGCACGTCGTGCGGCTGAACCGGGACACGGAGCACAAATGTGAGGCATCGAAAACCTCGAGGTACTCCGGGCTGCATTTTACAGGGCTTGCCTCCAGATTTAAAGAGCAGCAGTTGCCACCCAGCAGATGGCAATATTGATGATCCTGAGCCGCGGATGATACAAGTGAGATCCCGCGGCTTCAATTGGGTCGTGTACATGGCATAGGTCATATAAAAGTACAGATCCCTCTGTACAAGTGTAAAGTAGTCTGAAACAGCTCTACAACTCATCAGGGTCTGGTAATCTCACACAGCAGGAGATCTCAGTAAAATCGGCATAATTATTGAATTTCATTTTCCAGAGGGGTCCTGGAAATAATCTGAGGCGGTGGGGCCCTCCGCATTTGCAGTGCAATTCCACCCATATATTTTTCCTTTCGCTAGAGTGAACTCGGAATCGAGTCCGCAATAAGCGATCTCGTCAAAGGATCAAAAATGGCTTAAACTGGGAAAATTTTGGGCCGCGCCCTGTGTTCCGCAAGCGCCCTGTGTTCCGTAAAGAGCTTTCAGTAAGTTTTGCGGTCAGTGGAAGAAAAAGGAACATTGGCATCAAGTTTGAACTCCGCTGTCATTCCCGGGAGTTACCGTCGTCGTGTTCAACTCCACTGGAACGGTTGGACGCAATGTAGTTAGACTCAAACTAGGACATCCCACATGTTATAGTGTATGATTGGCACTCATAGAAACGATTTCCGGAGTAGAAAAGATGTATTCTTCACCCGTGAGACGACCGTGACGGCCTTTTCAACGGCCCATGCGAGCCTGCACCCGTGCCGTAGCTGTGCCGTGGTCCGACACCAAAAACATCTGACGCAACGGGCACGGCACCCGTGCGACCGTGGAACCGTGTCGACTCGGACGGTCACGGGCACAGGCAGCAACCCCCTCTTGCTCTGCGAGATATTAGCCCCGCGGTTGAGCCGCTCGACCCATGAAAATTCCTTTGGAGTCTTGAAAAATCCACAACCTCAGTTTGTTCAAACTTGGTTCCAAGTTCGCCAACTCAGAGAGTCTGAGCCAGGAAAAAAACGAGGACATGCTGACATATTCTAATGTAATATAAAATGACTGAAATGTACACAAAAGGCAAAAGTCTCTCAGGATAATTCCTTTTTAAGGCAACCAAAACCCACGAAGCACGAACATCATCGAACAAAAAAACCTTCAGCTTTGCG